TGAGAAATGCCACTACCTTCATGGCAGTCTTGGCCCCGCTTTCTATTTCTGGTGACATATTATTATGGTTTGTGAATTAACTGATCTAACTTCAGTTCATTCTCCTTGTATCAGTCTTCATCCATCTTAGATTGAAACCACAACTCCCTTTCAGTCCTGTGTAGAAACCAAATGGCTGGCAGAGCCATTGATACCAAGCAGGCCTTTAAGTTAAAGGAGGTCTTTCTTCTTAAAAACCTACCAGCTTTCTCTTAAAACTGAGAACATCACTAGTATGTGCTTCAGGAACAGAATACGCTTTCTGGGTGAATATTAGTGATGGTTTTTGTACAAAAGAGCTGAGGGAAGCTGCATCCCACAGACTCCAAAATACCATCATAAACTGAAAGCAGAAAATGTCCCTTACAATCCATTCCTTGAGATCCTAGAACAAGGAAGGGGAATTGTAGGGAGAATAAAATGTTCACTCAGTGTTGATCTCAGTCTTCAAAATATTTTTACATGGAATGATAAATATTCATAATCTCCTTCTTGCTATCTGTCAGATCACAGGACGCAGAGAGCAATTCAGTGAACTGAGAAATCCCTAAGATTATAACCTTATGGTTTTATTTAGAGACCTAAAACACAGTTGAAAAAAATTTTTTAAAAACAAGGTCTCCTATTATAGTTCATCATCAACACTTGCTGTGGGAAGGAAGCCAGAGAGACTCACAACACCAGCCACCCAAAGTCAGAGGCACTGAGCCAAAGCAGCCAGCAAAAAGCAGGTCCAGAGCCAGGAAGGAAAGCTGTTGCTGAAATGACAGGCCACACTTAAGAGACAAGAGGATCTCCAGGTCATGCTAACTGAGAGGGAAGAGCAGACAGATTCAAGCTGCAAAGCAAATTAAGATGTTGGACGAGGTATCAGGGTGATTAAGACTGGGCAGGAGATGGAGAAACCCTCTCTGACATGACAAGCATTTTACAGTAGCCTTTCTGATACGTTCAAATCTTACACCCTAATTTCTTTTGGAGAAGTCTTTAGTTTTATGAGGTTGCTTCATGTAGTCAATCCAAACTAGAAAACCTTTCCTTACCCACATCATACTTTTTACTATCTTGGTTGGTATAATTTTCTTTTTCAGAAGTTTTTAATTTGTTCATAAATCTTTGATAAATTATTTTATCAATAAAATTTTGTCAATAAACAAGTTCCCTGGTTGAAATTCCAATTTCTTCCGTGGTGAATAAAAGTTGGTAATAAAAAAAGTCTACTTTGGTTAATCATTTGTCTGAACTTCCAATCTCAAAGCTATAGGAGGAGTTCTAGTAAGATTACATGCAAGTCCGCTTGAAAGAAGTTGAGTGAAAACTGGACAAGGGTCACCTAAAGGCTCTTTGACAGTGAAACAGGGTGATCATGCTAGACTCACGGACATCTGCAAACTGTACCTCCGTTCCAACTCTCCATTATCACATCAAGATGCAGAGACTGCCCAGCGAGAGGACACAGGACAGGAAAGAATAATGCAAGGCAGCCTTGTGCTGGAAGGGGTAGCTGAATGCACAATCTAATCTATAGCTGGCAAGAGTACCACACTTCTCAGACAGCTCGTGTTAGAAGTTCCAGCCACAGATGGAGCTGGGCCAGTAGACACAATGGTGGGGGGTTGGTGATGTTTCTGTCAATCAGACTAAGAGCTCTCTACTGGTGAGAAGACTGTTGGTGTTTTTAAGTGATTGCTCTGGTTCAATCTGCTAAGGCACCAACTAGTGAGAAAAAAAAATAAGAAAATAGCCTTTGGATTAGAATTGAGGAAGATCTGAATGGCCTCAGGACATAGCTTCCACAACTCCCTCAGTATTTGTCTACCTACTACCATGGGAATATTTCCTCAGTCCTTTTCAGTGTGCTGTATTAATAGCTTTACTTAAGTTGACTGCTTAGACAATTGCAATTAGTTTTTAATCCTTTGTGTGAGTCCAGTTTTCTCTAATTAATTCTTCCACAACTCTCATAAAGTTCAAAGTTTATACAGAACTATCTAATAACAGGTCTTAACAGAATATCACCAATATTCTAGAAAATTCAAACCAAATGGCAAGCATTTTTTTCACTAGATATTTTTTCCAACTAGATATATTTGTTCTGGTATATGAATTATATGAGATGTTACAGAAGTCTCCAATATAAATACAACCCTCAATTTTCCATGTTATTGTCCATAAATAAATTTCCATAAGGTAAAACATCAGCACAGAGAATTTTTTAACTAGATTGAACTTTGGCAGCAAGTAAACTATTCATTGAGGAAACTAGTAAAACAAGATGGCATTTCTTGAAGGTATTTTCTTTCCCTCTATTTTGATCAAGTACCAACCAATTCCCAGACTCTGTATTAAGCAGTGAGCTTAACAGAAGAGCAAAGCCATGAAGTTTCATACTTTGGGTCAAAGACAATTAATAGCCATACCAATGGAATTGCCAACCAAGATGAACCCTTGAGCGAAGGAATAAAATACAGACAGGGTATATGACAAAGAAACCTGAGCTAGTGTGGAAGACTTGCGAGAAGTAAAGCTTGAGTTAGAGAACAATTAAGATGAAGATAGCAAAAGTTGTCTACTAAATGAAATGCTAAGTGGCCATAAGAACTAAAAGCCATTTCCAAACCATGTGCAGTAATATTATTAGCGGATTTTACTGGTGCCTGCCAGTCGCCAAAATTCTTGAAGAATGTTATCCCCCCCCAAAAAAATGATTTCTTTATTATCATTGAACATTTTCAGTTAGGGTTGGGCCTTGCTAATTTACCTATATATTTAACACAGTCAGGTCTGCGTTGCCTAAAGACACTCATAAAAACACTACTCAGATATTTCTGGCTTTTAAGATTAGAAGATCCGGAACTGTTTCTACACCCCAGCAAATAAAGTTGAAGAAGAGATGGATGAAGGGTGATGTATTGGTAATCATTTTAGCACTCTGTCCCATCTTTCTTTATCTATAATGGAATACATATGCATCTAGGCATATATCCATATACATATCTATCCATAATACCTATATCCCTAAATCATCTATATCATGAGCATCATCTATCTGTATTTCTAATCTATCTCTATCTCTATCGTATCATCCATTCCAGCCCGAAATTCTTCTGATGAGTTCTTCATGGCAGGTTAGATCAAGTCTCTACCCACACGAGGAGAACATTTTGGGATACCACCCCCCCCCCGCAAACCCTGAAAAGACTGCCTCCTGGGTCATCTTTACACCACTTTTCCCAGAGGATGAAAACTCCTCCCGGGACAACAGCCATTCAGAAAGTGGACGGCTGTAAAGGAGCAGCTAGGTTAGACCCACTTCTGCGCCCTAAACCAGGTGCTCGGGAGCCTCCTGGAGCTAGGGCGCGAGCGCGCGCGGGGCGCCAACCGGGGCGTGCCCGGGGCGCCGGGAGCTCCTGATTGGCTCCCGTGAACGCGCGGATGACTGGGTAGGCCAATGCGGTGGCGGGGGAGTGTTCACCTGAGAGTGTGAGTCCCACCCCGCCGGCCACGGATCACTCAGGGTTTCAGGCTGGGGAGCGAGCGCACGCCTTAACTAGCAAGGGAGAGGTGGGTGCGGCTGCGGTTCCTGGGGGTTTGCCGAAGAAGCCGCGCGCAGTGGTGAAGCCGGCAGGGTAAAGGGTTCTGGCTCCAGGAGTTGGAAGGGCAGGGGAATCCCTGCGGATGCAGACTGGACCCGTGTCCGCCCCGAGAGTGTCTTCAAAATAAAAACCTTCGGAGTTGCGTCAAATCCCTGTCTCCAAAAGCACGGCTCTGCGGGGGCTTTTCGGGAAGCGGCAGCACGCTAGAGAGCCGGCTACGAGCAATGGGGGTGCGTGTGACGTGTGGTGCACCCTAACCGTGTCGCAACTCCACTTCCCATGAGTATAAAGAGGACCTGACCAAGACGAACTCGAACCCGGGGCCAAAGAGGCTAACAAACACGGAGCAGGGGTCCGAGGCCCGTTCCCAAGCAGCGACGCCCCCTCCCCTCCTCCCCTGAGTTCCGACGGGAGGTGTGGTTCGCCGGCCCGGGGGAGGATGGGCCGCGCACTCCCCGGGGCGCACGCGCACCCCCTCTCCCGGGCGCACCCCCTCTCCGGGGTCTTTGTGGCTGCGGCGGCGCCGATCCCGGCCTGACGACCGCACCGGACGGGGCGGGAGGACTTTTTTCTTCCCCCCCTGGGTTCTAGGTCCCCGAGAGGCCCCTGGTGCGGGGGGCGAGGAGGGGGGAACCCGGCCCGGAGCCGCCCGCCGCGCGCGTCGGACCCGACCGGGCCCGGCCGTCGGTGCGGGGAGCCCCGCTTGGGCACAATTCGCGCACCCCCGGGGGAGAGGGCGGGGGAAGGGGGAGGAGAGAGGCTCCACCCGGGAGCGGACACGCTCGCGGAGTCGGATTACAGCCTGGCAATTAACATATGAATTTCACCGACTGGGACCGCGGGACGGAGCGGGCGGCGGGATCCGGCGCGGCCGGCGCCCGGCGGAACTTTCCTCGGGGTGTAAAAACTCTTTGATTGGCTGCTCGCACGCGCCGGCCCGCGCCCTCCATTGGCTGAGCAGACACGCGACCGGCGCGAGGAGGGGGCTGGGAGGCGCGCGGGGAGGGGGAGGGGAGCCGCGCTGGCGCGTGCCGCTTTTTAAAGGGGCGCAGCGCCTTCGGCAACCGGAGAAGCTTCGTTGCACGCGACTTGGTGTGTGATCTCCGAGCGAGTGTAAGGGAGGGAGGAGGAGGGGGGAGGAGGATCGAGGAAGAGAAAGAGGGAGGGGGGCGGGAAACAAAGTTACGACGCAGCAGAGGAGACCCTCCCCCCTAGGAAAAGATTATTTTGGAGGGTGGCGGTGGTTGGTTGGTTTTTAGGGGAGGGGGTGTGCAGGACACCTCATCTTTTCTCCCCCTGGAGTGGAACCGGGTTGCCAAGTTGCCTCCTTCAACGCCGCCGCCGCCGCACCGCCCGCGCCGTGCAATGTCCCGCCTGCTGCACGCGGAAGAGTGGGCTGAGGTGACGGAGTTGGGGGACCCCCATCGTCACCCCCCATCGCATCACCTCCAGCCGCCACCACCGCCACCGGCCACCTTGCAGACGAGGGAGCCCCCGGTGTACCCCGCCGAGCTGTCTCTCCTGGACGGCACCGACCCACGCGCCTGGCTGGCTCCGACCTTGCAGGGCATCTGCACGGCACGCGCCGCCCAGTATCTGCTGCATTCTCCCGAGCTGGGTGCCGCCGAGGCGGCGGCGGCGGCGGCGGCGGCCGCCCCGGAGGAGGAGGAGGAAGAGGAGGAGGAGGACGGCCGGGGGGATGCGGGGCGGAGGATCGGCGGCGGCGGAGGGCTCCCGAAGAACCCGGGGTCGGCGTCGGCCAAAGTGAGAGAGCAGCTGTGCAAGCTGAAAGGCGGGATGGTGGACGAGCTGAGCCGCCAGCGAGCCCCTTCCAGCAAACAGGTGAACGGGGTGCAGAAGCAGCGACGGCTGGCGGCCAACGCCCGCGAGCGGCGCCGGATGCACGGGCTGAACCACGCCTTCGACCAGCTGCGCAACGTGATCCCGTCCTTCAACAACGACAAGAAGCTGTCCAAGTACGAGACCCTGCAGATGGCCCAGATCTACATCAACGCGCTGTCCGACCTG